CAGGAAAATAGGGCATAGGGGGAGTGATCAGAGACACAAGGGGGAACTGGATTGCAGGATTTAGTCAGCACATTCCACATGCTATAAATATATACACTGAACTTATTGCACTTATAACATGAATCAGAATTGCCTTAGAACGAAGCATAATGCCTTAAGTTATAGAAACTAACACGTAAGAGTATGTGTTTAAGACCTAAAATAAATATAAAAAAATGAACCCTCTCAGATATTTAAGTTTTTTAAATGAGACGTTTACACTATTCAACAATATACACGATGCGCTTTGTACTCCAAATAGAAAAGCTTTGAGCAGCCATTTTGGTGAGCAGTGCTTGATGCTACTACTGCTTTCCATGTTAATATTCTGCTGATTGTAATCACTCTTGTCAAAGAGCTAATAATGAAGTTCCCAGTTGTTGCTGACGTAATTACAATCTGATGAGATGTCTAATAAGGAGAAGGAATCAAACTTGGAGATGAAGAGGTACTGCATTGCTTGGAGGTTCTCATTTTGGCTATAGAAGGGATACCTGAACCCAGTTTATTGTTTGCATATAGCGAGCTTGCGTATTTCTACCAGAGTGAGATGTAGCATTGCCTAAGAGACTAATTTCCCTTTTGCAGGATGCTTTTACTTTCATGGTTTTAATCAATAGTATCACCAAAGAGGAGAAGATTCAGCCTTTCGATTGACCAAATAATTAATAAAAATGATTAGATAGGCATAAAGAAACAATTGTAAGCTATTAACAGCAACAAAAGACACCCAAACTTGATGATATTTCAGAACTTAACTATTTCAGAGATTCCTCCGCCTCTTCATTAAGTGTCACTAAAAACGCACATTAAAGAAAGCCCTAGATCAAACAACGACCCTGCCAAGGACTATATAAGCTAATTATTATTAGCAATCAAGTTCGCCTTAGTCTTACTTTGTCTAGTGGAACAACATATACCCTTAAAACACTGCTTAAAAAAGAGAGAATGTCCCATGTCATTTACTTAGAATGCAGAAGCACCAAACACTAAGACCAAAAATGTTCTTGCAAAAGTTGTTGTTCCTCGGAAAACTGCAACAACAAAAAGGATTACCAAGATACTTAAGCAGATGTTTTGTAAAGATGGCCTTTAAATATGGAATATATTGTTCAATATTTGACAAAAGAAGCAGAATTGAACAACACGCAAAAAATATAAAAATCTTACAAGTTGTTACCTACACAACTGTCATTCACCTGGGTTTTTGCACCCTGCAATGTTTGTGCTGTTGATTTATTTTGTAAAATAGGAGAAACCAGGCTTTCAATGTAGAGTTCCGCTTCCGTCTCAAGATTGTCATCAACATTAGTAACCTTTGGATATGTGATTAAGTAATCCTTTGGATTGTATATCGCTAAAGAGTATTCAAACACATGCAATATTTCACCTTTACTTGACATGCAAATGGGTGGAAAAAGCACCTGGCTCTCTGGGCCATTAGAGTATTTGAAGGTATACAGTTTTATCCAAGACTCTTTAACCCCATACTCCTTCATAACCCATACATCAGCTCGAATTAGGTCATAATTACAAACAACAACAACAACAACAGCAACCCAGTATAATCCCACTAGTAGGATCTGGGGAGGGTAGTGTGTACGCAGACCTTAGGTTGTTTCCAAAAGACCCTAGGCTCCCTCCCTCCAAGAACTCCCCACCTTACTCTTGGGGTGACTCGAACTAACAACCTCTTGATTGGAAGTGGAGGGTGCTTACCACTAGAGCAACCCACTCAGAAAAATCATTTCCCAATACTTCAAGCTTCAAAAATTTCCTCCCTTCTTCATAGCGGTGCTGCTCCACCTTTCCATATTTCTCATCAACCAAATCAATAGACATGATGGTCCTACCTTCACCCACATGGACCCAGTGAAGCTTCCTACTCACCAACTTAGGCCAACAATTGTATGCCACCGGCCCTTGAATATCATCAAGTCTTCTCCAGGAATCATTCTTTAAACTATACATACTGACACATGCACTAGTCATTTTAGAGAAAACAGCCACTACCTTATAATCATCATTAACCTCATCATATCCAAAACCATACATGGACCGACACTCAAAATCCAATGCAGGCATATTCATAATATCAGGCACATGCTTAAATTTTCTAGTTGATGGATTCCACAGAACCAAGCAATTAACCCCAATGGAAAGACAAATCAACCCATTGACAGATCCCACAATATCAAAAGAATTATCGGGAGTTTTCATAGGAATATCCAAGTCAAATGCATCAGTAGAAAACCCAGAAAATAAAAGGCTAACAGAACAATGTTTAAGATTAGTCACAAATTGCAACATCAACCTATGGCGGGTGCAATCCTTAGCATTAAAACTAAGATGGGTATTAACAAATTCATGACTAGATATTAAAGAAAGCCAGTCTTTCGAAACACACTTGAACGGTAAGAGGGACTTTACAGGAAGTCTTACAAGGATTTCAGTGATGAGTTCTTGTGGCAAGCTAAGGTTTGGGTGTTGAAGGATTTCAATGATGGAGTTCTTGTGGCAAGCTAGGGTTTGGGTGTTGAGAAGAGGCTTCAGCGTCCATTTGAGTTGCACAAATTTAACTGCTCAAAAGATTTTTCAGAATAAAATTTCTCCAGCTTTGTCAATAAATATACACATATTTATAGTGAATTATGAAAATAGAACCACTGATCTCTTTGCGCTGCCCATTTTTATTTATTGTGCTGCGTAAAGAATGGCTGAAAGTGCACAAATAGCCAATTTTAAAACCATTGTTTAAAACCTAGCTAGTATTTAATTAATTACTTAAAGTTTAACGACTTTGTTATAAGCAAATAAAATTTGAATTAAAGTATCACTAAACTATGTTGAGCAAGTTAAACGATTCATAACCATCTTTTCCAAGAGACCACTTTTTCCCGTCTGTTCCATTTTCGGATTTCGATCGTTGATAAATAAAACCTTTGTAGACATATCTTTCTTGTAATTATGGGCTCATTATGTTTGAATGTATTTTTCCGTTCAAGAATTTGCTTCCCTAATTGGACTAAAAGTCTTTTTTGAATAAATGTTGTAAATATTGAAAAATACGAAAGCATGAAAAGGTAAAAGAATATCATGCATAAAATATTATTGATACGAGTTGATCAAACGAATTTAACTAGACGTATTTTACTTGATTCACTGAAAAAACTAGTTTGCAGTTAGTGTGACTGTGGCACCTCATGCTTAGAGATAAGCAACCAACAACAACTTGTAGTTCTTTTAAAAAAAATAAAAAAAAAATAACGCCGGCTTATTTTAATTTAAATTCAAATCAATGTATTAGACGAATCCCAATGAATGCTTAATTGCAAGCATGACATGCAAAACAATTTTAGGATTCATGAAATGTTTTCATGCGACAGAGATACATGTGTAAGATTTACGGAAACATAAAAAAATAGCATGAAATAAATAATGATTTAAACTGAAGCAGTAGAAGAAGCATGGTAAATCAACTAGGCATTGCTGCCATGAAAGTATATGTAATTCTGCTCTCTAATATTGCTTTTAAGGAATCTGATTCAAATAGTGAGATGGACTTTGAGAATCATGCGAAAACACTATTGGTAATTCAGGCAAAGAAGCGAAACCTGTTGTAAGGTACTATGTCATTACTTCCCCATAATATTGTCATTTGGGCAAGATCAGATTATTGTGGGAGTCGATTTTAAATGTGAGTTAATTTGGTATATTGTTGATAGATATTTATGCACAATACAAGCATTGGCCATATTTGTCCTTTCCTTCGTATGTTTGATAAATGATGTTTATCATCATAAGATGTAGTATCCCAATTTCCTAATTAATATTTAATTCAGCTTATTTTTATTTTCTCATATGAGAAATTTGTGCATTGGATACTTTCTACTATTTAGATCAAAAGAGCTGAGAGGCCCGAGGAGGGGGTGCCTTTTAACATGGTTCATGATCCACACTCTCAAGTATCTCAAGTTGGTGGAAGAAAATAAGGAAATTGCTCCTTTCTCTTACCGAGGATATCCCTTACTTTCTTCTTTCCCAGACTTCTAACAACGGAATTTTCTTTGTTAAAGACCTCAGTAAATTTGATCTGAGATATGTAGTTTCTTATGCTTCTAACTGAAATTTCAATATGTGCTTCCTTCATTGAGCTTGTCTTGAACTATAACAGTGATAGACTTATTCCACTTCTTATTCTTATAGACTAAACAACACTAACCTTTTTTCTTTTTCTTACTAAGAACAAATCCAAAATACAAAGTTCACAATGAGACTGATGAATTCATGCCTATGTAACCAAATAAGCCATGCTGAATTAATGACAATATCGATCGAACCAATCAGATGCACAACTCTACTTACATCAATGTCGAATGATGAATTCAAGTTAAATACAGTGGTGCACTTGCCACCATCAAATCTTGGTTCTGCCTCTACATGGAAGAGCTTCCTCTTCTTGAAGACAACAATCTCTTATTTTTCTAATGCGGTTGTACTAGTAAAAGTTGACGAAGTTATCATTCGTTATTAATGAAATTTGATGTTGAATATGTTAATTTTGCCTGAGAATGTCACATTTTAATTTTTATTTCAAAAAACATAATCTAATTTTGACTTCATATTCTTATATTTGAATTAATAATATCATTGAAATAGGAAAGAAGGGAAATATTCGAACTTGAATCACAATGTAAGCGAAAAGATTGTGGTTCGATTCCACAACATGCTTCTTTTATACCATCAATAAATGACTATTGCACAGAAAGAAGAAAAAGGCTCGAGGTTATAGTATAGATAGGGAGTGAAAGTTCATAACATTACTTAGGATGGGAAAAAGTGAACAACCCCAGCCTTTGCTCTGATTGGAGCTTCTCCTCTTCGACTTGAGAGATTTTTTGAGAAATTTCGTGACGTCTTAAAAAAAATTCAATGGAAGAAATGTTTCTCTGTAGAGGAAAAGAATAACAATTTATTCCTATAATTTATCCTATTGAAAATCTAGTAACAAAAAGATTTAATCGAAAATACCGATAAATTCTTGTGGTCTCTTCATTTCATTTCAGGGAGAAAAAGAAAGACGAAGTTCTTCTATCCAGTTGACTAGAACACGCATTGACGAGATATTATTTTTCTTTACGACTTTTTCTGCGGTGTTCCTCTCTAGATTCACCACGTGCCATGAAGCAATTGTCTATTGTTTCCTTACTATCATCATCTGATATCTCTTTATCGGTCCAACAACCTGAAAACTTGTTTATATCATTTTCTAATATAGTCATGAAGCAAAGATTGGCGATTTCTGCAATTTTTGAGTTGTCTTCATCACTCCAACTTTTGAATGATTTATTTTTCTGAAATCTTCTGGAGGCTTTTCTTTTTGAGATCTTGACATTCAGCTTGTACATGACCATATTTTCCACATCCAAATATTTTCTATCATTCTTATATTATCTGATTCTTCTCGAAGACATTCTTCCCCTTTTAGTGTTCCTATATCTTCTTTTCAGTCCATTCATAGTTTTGGAAACCATAGCGATTTCTTCTTCTAGAGCCTCCGTTTCGTTGTCATTATCATCTTCATATCCTTCAATCGGGGTTTTAAAAGCGATTGTTATCTTCTTCCTCCATGCCCCATTTTTTGAGATGTGCTTTCTCAAAAGAAATGAGATCTCCACGGAGTTCATCATAGGATAACTTGTCTAGATTTTGAGACTCATGTGCAACTACTTTTGTTTGCCAAGCAGTAGGCAAACTTCTTACGCTTTTTTGAACTTGTTCGCTACTTGAGTATGGTCTTCCAAAAGCCTTCAGCTCTCCAATGATTTTACTGAATCATGCAAATATTTTCTCGAAAGATTCACCTTCTTTCATCTGAAAGAGTTCACAGTCATGGATCAACATATTTATTCTTGTTTTCTTGACTTTGCTTGTCCCTTCATAAGTAACTTCCAGCTTGTCCCACATTCTTTTGGCTGTATCACCGCTTGACATCTTTTCATATTCTTCTCCATTTATATCATTGTATAGAAGATTTCGTCTTTGGTGTTAACTTGTATTACTGCCATTTGCTCATCAAAATAGTCATCTATATCCACTGGATCAGTAGATGTCTGTCTATTCGTTTTCTTGTCAGATTTAGCTGCTTGAATTAGGTAGTCTCCCTTTTTATACATTACACGCCACACTTTGACATCATAGAATTTTGCATAGATTTCTATGTGAACCTTCCAATGTGAGAAATATTATACATTGAAATATGGAGGCCTCGCCTGTGATGTCCCTTTTTGAAATAGTTCTCCGACAATTACTTAGTTTGACATGATCTTTTCTCACTAACTGTTAGCAAAATGAAAGTGTGAGACATGCTCTGATACCAATTGAAAGTACGTTTGGAGGGGAGGGGGCTGAATTGTCGTCCTTTTTTGTTTATAGTTAATTAGTCGACTAGTTTACAAGTTAGTCGATTATAAATTGGTGCAAGGTAAATATTAATAATAGAATATAAAGTGTAGAAAGTAAATGACACCGAATAGTTTATACTAGTTCGAATTCAATGTGAGTTCTAGTCTAGTCCCCTTGTGTTGCAGTAGGGTTCTCTCTTCAGAGCTCCTTGAAATATTCGGTACAAATGAGTTGATGTTTTGAGCACCAACTGCTCTCAGAACTAAAGTAAACTTTCAATATTTTGATATAATGCCTCGCCAATATTTCTCTCTCTTTCTTCTCTCCACTAGTTACAAAGTAAATCTATTATAGATTGCGTTGCTTGTTTAGAGTAGAACAAAGAGTTTGAGGTTGGTTCGATCAAAGTATTCTTCTTCTCCTTGTTTTCTGATTATAAATACAGCTCGAGAGATCTACTTTGTTTCTTGATTGAGGCGGATCTTGAGAGATTGACAACCCAAAGGAATTGATCCTTGGAATGAATCTTGATTGATGATTCTTTCCAAGAATAAGTGTGGGGCTTTCGTTGATTAATCCTTCAATCATGGAGAGTGACAACTTTTCTTTAAATGACACGATTCATTTAGACGACCAATTCTTCAGGTGGATAGTCTTTTCTTTAGTGACTTGATCGATAGTTTAAGAGGATTCTTAGGGATTGTGGTCGTCCCTTTAGTAGCTTGATTGATAGTTGAAGTGTATTCTTAGATATCGTGATCTTCCTTTATTTTGGACTTTCTTTCCTTGACGCGCATGAATTGTGTTCTATCAGACGGATATGAGTTTTCCATCTTTGAAGAATAATGGGTTAGCACCTTCCTTTGCTTTTGGAATGTACCTGCAATTACGAGTAATGTTATTTTTCAACATTAAAACTTGAATCTAACAATATACTAATTTTTGATGATGACAAAATAACAAAGGTTACTTCAGTTTACTTCCATGTTTATGTTACTTCAGCTATAGTCGACTCTCCCTCAACTGGGAAGCTTCTCCTGTGTGAGCGTGTTCTTTTTTAAGCCAACTCCCTCTCAATTGGGCAGCCAAAAACCTTTACTTGCATCCCCTACATCTTACTTTATCCTCTATTGGCATCAACAAAAAGAATTATACTAGTAAAAACATGTAAACAAGTAATAACCAATAAGTTAATGTCACGACCTAAATTCCCCTCCGTGTGATATCGTGACGACATCTAGTCTCTGCAACT